TTCTGTGTGGCACAGTACACCCCACTTCTGCCTCCCCCAGTGGCCCTCCTCCACACCATATGCATGATGTTCTTCCACTTGGATGTGTTTTCTAGCCAAACTTTGAGATGTTGTACAACCACGTGAAGCAGCTGCTCTCCAATGAGCTACTTCTGACGCAGATGGAGAAGTGCGCTCTTATGGAGGCCCTCGTCCTCATCAGCAACCAGTTCAAGGACTACGAGCGGCAGAAAGCTTTCCTGGAGGAGCTCATGGCTCCTGTTGCTGGCTTATGGCTCTCCCCAGAGATGCAGAGGTATGGGTCATTTTTCTGAGCGTGGAGCTGGAGGTGTTGCAGAGGTAGTGTGCCCAACAGGAGAATGCGCAAACCAGCTGAGGGTGGTGGGGTGCCTCGTGACCTCCTGTGCTCTGAGCAGCCACTGTGGTAATCGCTCTCCTGCAGTTCAGAAACTGCCAACTGAGTCTAAATGGTGTTTGTTGACAATTGCTGGGTAAGAGTTGTTTGAGGTGATAGAGGAACACTTCATGCTCAAAGCATTTGCAGAAAGTGAGAAGTAAAAGATGTCTTTGCTCGTCTCCAGGAGGAACTAGGAAGCTGAGCTCTCCAAGCTGAGGTGTCCTGCAGCCTGGGGCAACTGGGCATGCAGAAGAATTTTCCCAGCAGGGCTATCTTCAGAAGAGATTCAAAGGTTTTAGGTCCCCGTGGCCCAGAAGTACTGGAGATACGTGGAGAGTGCATGCATCGCTGGTGCTTTTTGTCATGTTCCAACATACAGTGTGGAGCACTAGCTAGACTCTCCAGTCTGCTCTGTATTTGTTAAGGTTATTGCCAGTGCAAAGCCCTGCTCAGGTGCCCTGGTACAAACAATAATCCCCATTGCTGTCTCTTGCTGCTGCCAGAGTCCTCTCGGATCCTGAAGCCTTTATCTCCTATGTGGGTGCAGACAACAAAATTGCTGATCCAGTCTTGGAAGATCCTAGTGGCCTGAACCGCTCTAGAGTGAGTATCGGTACCAGGAGAGGTGTAATCCGTAGCAAGATGGGACTTGACTCCTTCCATCCCCCATTTCTGTTGTGGTTACACACAAGATGACTTGACTCCTTCCATCCCCCATTTCTGTTGTGGTTACACACAAGATGTCTCCTGATCATCTACTACTTTAGGGTGCGGATCAGTAGCTTTTTCGGATTGCAAAATAACAGGCTGGCTTTTGCCTCTTTAAGCTACAGTAATGAGCATGTAGGCCATGCAAAACCGGATTATTTGGCAGAGTAAAGCACCCTATTCCCTGCTTTTTGTGTAGCGGAGTTTGGTTTTGGAGAAGCAGTTGGCTTAAATGATTTTTGGAAATATGGTGCAGTGAATTGTGCATTTTGAGGCAGGCCGTATGGAAAGCATCGTGCTGAGACTAGCATGGAATGTAATCAAAATGCATCCAAGAAGGCTTGTGTTGAGTTGTTGGTGAAAAGTCTTCGCTTCTTGGACAGACTGCAAATGGAGTTGCCATTTGCCATTCTACAGATCTTTAGATCTGTAGAAGACACTGAAGTGCAGTCCACAGAGCTGTGCTGCTGATTTGAGGCTAATGCAGTTTGACCACTGTGTCACTGCAGATCTTTACATCTGTCTGAGCACATGAAGGAGATGAGGAACTGATGGTCTAGACCCTTCCATTTAGAGGGCAACCTACCTGGTTGCTTGCTTACTCATGAGACCATATGCATTCCTGCTTTGTCTAATTGCAATTTCGTAGGCTGTCCTGCCATGGCCAAGGGTCACTGAAAGTGATGGAACGTAGTGTGATCGTTTGCTGTGTTTTCTTGGCAGCACTCCCACCAGAGTTTGTTCCTATAGCTAGATTAGGTTCACTGTAGAGTGTTCTCCTTGAGATGGGATGATGATGGGTCCCTCTGAAAACATATATAATCAAGTTGTGCTAAGAAACGTTCTTTCCACATCTCTTGCTGCAGATAAGCTTTTGTGTGTACACCATCCTGGGAGTTGTGAAACGGGCTCGTTGGCCTGCTGCTACTGAAGAGGCGAAGGCTGGAGGATTCTTGGTGGGATTCATGCCCAGTGGAAGTCCAGTCTACCGTAATCCCTGCACTGAGCAGGTCCTGAAGCTTCTTGACAATTTACTTGCTCTTATAAGGTGGGTCAAGTTGACTTGAAATCATTTATGTTGACTTAAGCATCTCTGAAAGCCAAACTGTGATAAATACATGGAATGCTCAGAGCATGTTCTCCCAGTGAAGCCAGCGGGAACACAGGCCGGTGCAGGTGCCCAAGTACTGTTCCTGACTGTTCACAGTGGGGAATGGCACTGGGGAAACTGGAGCCTTCTGAATGTTCATTGGCCTGGCCTACGAGAGTCCATCAAAGCCAATGGGAGCTTGGGCTGGGGTTGCCTCCCCCACCTCCACTGCTATAAATCTGCCACCCAGTTAATCGTTTCTCAACTAACATCTCTGCTCTGCCCTCAGCCCCTACAAGGCCACCTCTCCAGTCACCACCAGGGCAGTCCCAGCTCTCATCACATCCTGTTTGCATTGTTCTCTCTTCAGTGTTAAATTAAGCTGGTTTTGCTGAACGTGAACACCAGCCTCCTGAAGCACTGTCTGCTGTTGAAGTCAGTGATGCATACTCTCAGGCTGTTGCTACCTTGCAGTGCCTCTCTGCATGTCACTGGTGGTGTGTACATCTGTGGCAGCCAGAGGAGGGAGCAAGAGAAGGCAGGAAAGGGGAATCCTGAATAACACAGTTCCCAGAATTATAAAGGAGGATTCTGTCTCAGAGTAACTGCTGACACTGGGATTTTGCCAGGCTTATGGGGCAATTTTGTGAGATGATACTACACGTTATGTACTTGAAAACTTGAGTCTCTGTCCTTGGCAGGAGCCTGTTGGGAAAGAGCGTTTTCAGATCCACTTAGATTTTTTTCAGCTCCCAGGTCTGTGAGGAAAGGGGCCCTATTACTCGAGCTCTGTCTAGTCAGGTGTGTTTGGTAGTCACTGAGCTCAGGACTGTGCTGCTTCCAGTGAGAAGCAACATGGTGGACTGGCGAGATGAGCACATGCTGTCTTGGCCCACCATAGCTGTGCTGCTTCTCACAAAGCTCTGTAGCACAGCAGGTGGTGCTTTGGCCAGGGAGCAGGGTTGAACCATCTTGTTACGGCTGCGGAGTTGTGCTTGAAGTCTTTTTGCCTTTTATCCTGGAAGGCTGAAGATCCTGTCGATGAGCTTTTGGGAGAGATTGGGTAGAGCGGAGTTGCCTGAGTAGAGGTAGCCTCATGCCACTTCTTCCAGAGCCTGGATCATGGCCCGTACTGTGGGAGATCAACTAAACCAGTGCCCAAGGTCTGAACAAGCACAACAGATGGACTTTCTGCTTGTGCAGTTGCTGTTCTTGCCACAACTTATGCATTATTAAAAACACTTGGGATCTCTTTTACAAGCTTAGGAAACTATTGTCAAACTCATCACTACCTGTAAAGAAGCAGAAATGCTGTGCCTGCTTGTTTGCCACCTCCAGGAAAATGCATGGGCTATGTTCTGTTGCCACTGCTTCCCCATCTGCGTAAAGGAAGAGGCTCCCTGGCTATTTTTTGAGATAATGCATCTGTGTTGTTCAAGCATCTTCCCTGCAGACCAAAATCTTTTCTGAACACGGGGCAGTAACATACAGGGAGCAGCTTGTCCTTCACTCAGAGGTATCCAGGCTTTTCTTAAGGCTGGATGCTCCAACAAAAGCCAGTGAGTGAAGTATTAAGAGCAGTAGATCCTCTACCTCACACCTTTCCTGTTTGATGCTGGATATAGAGGCTTCTGTGTGACAACTGCAAGCTCATAGTTGTTCAGTGCCAGTGTTGATGCTGCTTATGTCCTTCTGGAGAAGTTGGAGCTTGTGCTATAGAGCTTCTGGTGTGGTTTTCATTGGCTTTGAGTGCCTTTTCAACGTACTGCTTCCTCAGGCCCTCTTTAATATGGATTACACAAGAGAATATGGAATCTGTAGCAGCCTGTCAGCAGGCAGGAACTACAGGGATATGAGGAAAGGCGCCTGGCAGGAGAGCTGCTTGTGTTGAGGATGCCTTCAGGAACATAGTTGCATTACTACCTGGGAATAATGGGTGCTTCTCTTAGCTCTGTGCCATTAGGCAGCTTTCTGTGGGGATAAGCAAGGCCCAGTGTTGCTCATGTGCTTCTGCAGGAAGAGGATGTGGAAGTCCTCACAGATTGTGTTGGTTACTGTGTGAGCAGATCTGCAAGTGGCAGCAGCATGGATCCTACTGAGCATCTGGATCAAGCACCAAGTCAGGCACCAGTATGCAAAAAAAAAGTACATTTTGCAGACTGAGCCGTTGGGTCTGCTGCTCTCTGGGTGTTGTGTGGCATTCTGCTGTCTTTGCAGACCGAGGCAGTGAGAGTTGTTAAGCCATTGGGTCTTTGCCAGGGTAAGTAGCTTTGGTCTCGTGAATGAGACCAAAGAGCTGAGAGGAATGAGAGGGAGTTCAAGTAACAAGATAAAATTACGTAGTTTTGAGTAGCATCTTTCTGTGCCTACCCATATTTGTCTCTGTCTTGATAGCTGTATTTACCAAATTATTTTGAGGTTGCTTTGTTAATCACTGCTTTCAGCTTTTTGCGTGATGATTCTCCTGTCTTCCACGGTACTTCATTTCGTCTAGGTGCTTTCTAGCTTCTGGCTTGAATTGATCTCTCCTTAATTTAAACCCAAATCATGATCTCCAGCCACCTTTAGATAAAAGCGCATCCATTCCTGGATTCAGTCACTGCATCAACTGATTGTCACAGCACCTTTATTGTGCTGGAACTTGTTTGTGTTTAGTTACAAATGGACTGGTCAGGCTCAGCAAGTGCTCTGCATAGAGAAAGGCTTTTTTGGAACTCCTCTTGATGAGATGCTGATATTACCAAGGCATTAATGCTGGTGAAGGACTCATCTTCTGGCCTTCAATCCCATCTCTAGGCACCAGACACAGCAGAGCTGTGACCATCCCTGAAAATCCCGCAAGTCTCCTGTCATATCCTTTGCTTGTCTTTTCTAAAGCATAAATGTCTCTTGAATTTTGTTTTTGCATGTTCTCCCGTGCGCGGGATGCCCAGGAGTGCTGCTCGCTGCTGAGAGTCTCAGCTGGAACATGCCTAGGGACTACATCCTCATCATGTACGAGGGCTGTTTTATGCTTTTTAACTCCCAGTGGGGAGCAGCTGATCAGCCGTTTTCTCTCTGTTGCCACTGGGACTTTGCTAAAGTATTAGCTAAGGGAGATCGGCCTGTGAGTGAACATCTGCCCTCGCAACTGTCAAAGCTGAGAAAATGCTTCAAGGACTCTGAAAAAACTAAGGACCACGGCCACAGGTTCAGGATATGACTGTCTGGCTCATCCTGCTGGAGTTAGAGCAATGGGATTTCAAGGGTCACCACCACAATTGCACAGTCCTGGGGTTCACCCCACTGCCCTTCTGCCCAGCATGAGGCAAAGCCAACATTGGCATGGAGCAGGCAGGAGACATACAAGAGGAGATGATTTCAGCAGCTAGGTTTTAGGATAGCTTCAATCAGGAGTGCACAGTCAGAGGAACAACGTTATCCAAACTTCTGTGGAGGCTGAGCTGTTCCCTGGACCCTCTTGGGAAAGTAAAACCAGCTTGTGCCCCCTTTGAGGCCCGTTGCATGGTGTTAGATCCAGCCCAGAATGAGAGTATGAGCTATTAAGAAGTCATTTTTGTAGCTTGCTCTTATGAAGTTTACATACTTGCCTTCCTCACGTGCAGTGAGCAGGGAAGTATTTAACACTTGCAGAGAGAAATGGGATAGTTGCTGTTTCGGACCTAACTCAGGCTCTCTGCAAACTCAGGCAGATGTCACTGCATTGGGGATGACAGGATTGTGAACATAGACCTTCAAAAAAAAAAAAAAAATTAAAAAATCACTGAGACATGAGTGAAAGCTGAGACTCTGGAGAACGTACTGAGGTCTGTCCGCGCTCCCTTCCCCCAGCCATTCCCATGTATTCCCCTGCTTTGGGAAATGCTGCTCTAGGGGGAGATACTGAGTTGCCCTTGATCACCTCTAGCAGCAGGTACAATGGCATTGCAGTTTTGGAGGAGGCTGCAGGATTTGTGCTGTGTGCAGCTGGCGACACGCAGAGTGGAGGTCTGAGGTCTCAAAGGAGAGAGGTAGGTGAGAGAGACACCCCCTGCCGAGTCCAGCTCTGAGTGTCAGTACCCTGGCTAAGAGGGGACCCATTTTGGCCTGGATGGCAAGAACCAGCCACCCGTGGCTGAATTGGTGTCCCTCATGGAAAGCGGACCGTGGCCGCCTCCTGATGATGCGGAATTGTTCCCAGCTGGATGTGTTGTCCAGGGGGCACATGCGTCTGCCACGAGTAACATCTGATCGGACTGATGTTCTCCCTAGAGTCCCTCCGATGCCACCTGCCATTCTGGGGGCTGTGACCCATCCCTGGGGGGCAGTGTGTGTATTTTGGAGCTGAAACAGCCCCTCCCTCTGCAGGGGCCTTAGGTGCAGAAGATCTTTTGAGATTGCAGAATCCGTGTCTTGTCAGTTTTTAAAATACATTCTCTGATCCCTTTGGCCAAGCTAATAAGCTGTTGCCAGCATCATCTGGAGAATTGCTGGGAGTTTTTACTGCCAGTGCTTGCAAGGGGTGGGGTGAACTGAAATAAGTGGAAGGGGCAGCCAGGAGATTCAGGACATGAGGTGGAGTCACTCCATGTCTCTGTCGGGTCAGCTTCCTGTATATTTTTGCAGGTGGGGAAGGGGGATCCCATGCACACGTGCTTGGTCTCACCTTCCTCATCATCTGCCTCAGAGGAGCTGTTCACAAGCTGAAGGAGAGGATCCCACTGTCATGGGCAAAAGGGGTTGACCCACATGAGTATAAACCAAGTACTCTTCTGTTTCAGGACTCACAACAATCTCTACATGCCAGAGATGGTGGCTAGGCTGGGGGAAACATTTGCAAAGGCCTTAGACATGCTGGAGGTGGAGAAGAATGCCATCCTAGGTAAGGGGCTTCTCTTTGGGAGGAATGTGTGGGCAGATTCTCAGAGGTGTTAGAGGTTGTGGTCCATCAACAGCCCTGGAAGTGAAGAGGGGCTGGAGAGGCAGCTGCTTCATAGTATTTGCAGCTCAGCTGTGATCTGAAGCTGCTGAAATGAAGAAGTTAAATAACTTACCGGTGTCAGACAAATTGGCTGCTTCTGCATGAAATGAAGGGTACCCTACCAAACTGCTTATCCCAGCTGGGCAGTGGTCTCTGCAACATGGCATTTCAGGCTGGAGAGACTGGGGGTGCCGTAATTGTCTGCTTTTGAGCAGAATTAGTGCTCAGCAGGATCCCCGAGTACTGGTGCAGAGACCTGTCCTGGAGGGCAAGAGCCAAGTCCTGCAGTATGGCCCTGTCATTCGTTTCCAGACGGTGTATTAGAAAGAGGCTTTTGGAACCATCTTAAAACAGGTTTGAGCTTGTGAATACAGGAGCCTTTCCAGCCAAGCAGAAGTGGGTGGCCTTGTGGATAAAGTGTGGACCGTGTCTCTGGAAATTGGGGTTTGATTTCAGGTTCTGACAGACAGTGAAATATTTCAGGGAAGTTGCTTTGTCTTTCTTACCTCCGTTTCCTGTCTGTAAAATGAGGAGATGCTTCCTTTACCTCTTTTCTGTGACCTATAAACTCTCTGTCTGTGAACCACTGCACATAAGCAGCAGGGCCTTGATCTCTGCTCTAAACATTTTAATATCATAGTTCAACAGTAGCTTGTGTCCCAACAGAGATGAATACAAAAACCTGAAGGGATGGGCTATTAGAGGAGCTGCACAACTCTCAGCTTTGCTTCTGACTGGGTTCTGACAGCTCCAGTAAGTTTTTATTTGGAGAAATGAAGGGGCTATAACAACTTTAGTGGGAACACCTCTGCTCTGGGTACCTGAACTTGGCTGACCTCTGAGGGGAGGTTCTGCCCCAGAGTTGCTGCACCTCTTCCCGCTTAACTACACGCAGATCTTGGCAAGTGCTTCGCTTGCTGCCATCAAGCTGGGTGGGGCCTACCCAGCACGTCCTGAAGGTGCACTGTGCCTCTCATCTGTGTAGCTGAAGCTTATTCTTTCCCACAGGTCTCCCTCAGCCTCTGCTGGAGCTTTATGACTCTCCTGTTTACAAAACAGTATTAGAAAGGATGCAGGGCTTCTTTTGCACCCTCTACGACAACTGGTAAGAGCACCAGATATTCCCCACACAATTTAGCATTGCACAGCTGGAGCGCGAGGCTACTGCTGGGTGCTGACTTCTTGAGTTAGACTTTTCATGTGGGCTCTATCCTAGAATATCCAAGTACAAGCTGCAGTGGTGAGCTGTACTTGGTGGTTGTAACCTACCACATACACATGGAACAGTCACTGGAGAAAGTACCTCAAAATGTGGATCTGCTTTTAGCTTTTTGGCAGTTAGGTAGTCAGATTGGAACACTTACCTGATATCCTGACCTAGTTTGTTTCTTTAACACTATCAGCACTTAAAAGTGCATTTTAGTGCTTAAATGCTTAATTCATTGTCCCTCCCCAGGTATCCCAAAAAAAAAAAAAGAGATACTGTGCTAAAGTTCTTCTGTAGTATTTGTTTGAGCACAGCATCAATCTAATCTGAAGATTACAGTACTTGTACCCTTTGCAGTCCAGACGCATGTTACCTGTTATCTAGCAGAGTTTCAACTAACTTGTTTTTTGTTGAAGTTTCCACATCCTGGGAAATGCAGGCCCTTCCATGCAACAGGATTTCTACACTGTTGAGGGTCTCGCCACCCAGCTCCTCAGCTCAGCTTTCATCAACCTCAACAACATTCCTGATTACAGACTGCGTCCCATGCTCCGTATCCTTCCGTCATTGTCTCAGGCCAGCTAAGGAGGCTTTGAACACATAAATTGAAAACCTGTGTCTTTTTCAGTATGGCCAAGTGAGAGAAGGGTGTTTGAGGAGGTAAACAAACAGGAATACTCATGGTGTGGATGAGGTGTGACCCTGGGAGGGCACAAGCAGAAGCAGCAGTGCATGGGGTCAGAATAAATCCAAAGGATTTGTGTGGTTCTGAAGGTGCCATAAGAAGTGGGTAATGTCTTCTGCGGGGTAGGGGGGCTTGGATAGTGCAGGAGCTTGAGAGTTGGGTGCCTGACTAGACTTTGTGCTTGTGTGGGAAACCGCATGGGGTTCCTAGCCCACTTTCCCGGGCTGGACATTCAGTCTCACAGCTAGGAAATGGGTGCTAAGGACCCTCAGCTTTCTCAGCTGAACTGTCAGGGTAAGGGGCTGAATACCTCATGCTCTTGCTGTATAGAGATGCCAGTTGTTAATTCAGGGCTGTGAGAAGATGGGCTTCAAGGTGTCGTTCGTTTGGCCTCCCAGTGGAATGGGCTGGTTTGGGCAGTGTGCTGCAGTCGCCCTAGCAGCTGGCCACATGTGCTGGATCTCTTCCTTAACTGGTCTGTGCAGGTGTGTTTGTGAAGCCCTTGGTACTCTCCTGCCCTTCAGAACACTACGAAACCCTCGTCTGCCCCATGCTGGGACCACTCTTTACCTATCTGCACGTGGTAAGAAAACAACTTGTTCCATGCCTGTTCCCTGGCAGCCCAGATTCCCTGTAGCAGCTGGCAGCGACGTGTGAGAACATCTGTCTTTCTAAAGCCAGCAGAGACCAGGGCAGAGACTCGATGCTTAACAATTTTGATGCTATTCAGGGAGGGCTGTTGAGGAGCACTGAACCCTGGCTGTTGCATGACACCCCTTGCTGCAAATTTAAACCTGTGGATATTAGCTCTTCAGCCTTCAGCCCTGAGAATTTTTGTGGGTGGGTTTTTTTGCCTGTGTCCTCTCATTTCCCTGACAGCTTGCTCAGGGTCCTACAGCCAGCACACCCACAGCATCTTCAGCACAGCTGGTAGCAGTTCTTGTCCTATTCAAAAGGAAGCTTGGCATAAGAGCTGCGTTTAAAGCCTTTGTGCTTCTATCAGCAGCCATCACTTGAGCCTCTTTGCATTGTGTCCAGCATTGCTCCTTAGGAAGGTACTGAATCTTCTCTTTTGTCTTGAACAGAGGTTGTCTCAGAAATGGCAGGTGATCAACCAGCGAAGCATGCTCTGGTAAGCTTCCTCCTCTTGATATGAAGGGAGAGTGGGGAGTGGGATGGAGCTTTGGTCCTTTACACACTGCTTTGCCCAGGGAACAACCTTGTCAGCAGAGCGCTGGAAAACACTGTGCTTACCCTGAGGGCGACCCATTCCCTGTGCTTGGGCAGAAGGGATATTTTAAGATATTGGCTCCCTTCACACTAAACCTGTTTTCTTCAGTGAGGATGATGCTGCAGATGACAACCCTGAGTCTCAGGAGATGCTTGAGGAACAGCTGGTCAGGCTGCTGACCCGAGAAGTAATGGATCTCATCAGTAAGTGAAATCAAGCTAGATCCCCTGGGATATTTGGAAAGTTTGTCCTGGGGAAGACAACAGGAATTTCCAATGTGCAGTAAAACTTGAACTATAATGGCCTGTATTATTTACCATAATCCTTAGAAGGCAAGTTTGAGACAGTTCTTAGCTAAAACCTAGTAAGAGATCAATCAAAAACCTTCAGAAGAGAGTTTCTTCCTTTTGTTTTGTCAGCATCTAGGGCTCCATGTTATTGGCACTGTCTGTGTAGGAGTCTGGTCTTCCTTTGGAATCTAGGTTCTCCCTTTCTGCACCTGGAGCCCAATATGGGACATCAATTTGTGGACAACCTGAGTGTAGAATAGTTTTGTTGCTGGCAATTGCCATGTCTCTAGCCAGACAGAAGGGAAGAGTCCCTCCCCCAAAGCAATCTCCCTTCTTACTGTTCCCTTCCTCCAACATCGTGTTTTTGTCAGCGTGGCTCTGAGCAGAGAGGCTGGGAAAATTGACTTGGCATACAGATTACAGATCCTCAACCTCCTATCTCCTTGTTGCCTTAAGATGGTGTTCTTCTCAGGTTATAGTCTTCAAATGGTTTTGCACGTTCCTGGTGCTCAGTAGTTTGAAGCAGCCACGGTGCAACGGGTTCCACTGTGGGAGGATGCTGTGGGTGGGGGGTGTCAGACTTCCATGTAGTGCAGTATTTGGCTTTATACTGGGCTTTCAGATTCTTCAGATACTGTGTAAGGGCTGGGGGAGCTTGAGGCAGCTGTGAGCCCATCAGAGTCTGTAAGATAATCTCTGCGTGTTCTAAAGTAGCATCTTTTCTTCTCTGACCTGCAACTGTTTTTTCAGCTGTTTGCTGTGTTTCTAAGAAAGGTGTAGAGCATAACACTACTGCTGCTGTAGATGGAGATGGTGAGTAAATGCCTACCTTTGCCTTTTATGCCCTTGGTGTATACAAGCACTTTTCCCATTTCTTTATGTACTTCTTGAGGGAGAGGCTAGACTGTTGCTGGAAGTTCTGTGTGAGAGGGGGTATAGGTTTGGTAAGAAGCCTTCAGCTCTGTCCTGCCAAGTGTTGCTGGGGGCCACAGAAACCCCAGGTCTAGCCTAGGAACTGACATGCTGTAGGGTTCACAGGTAGCATGTTGGAGCAGCTGATTCCTAAGGTATTAAGAAGGCTGAGGAGAAGAGGGGATGTGCGTGATCTTCCCAAGAGCTGGAGGTAGCTAGTTGGGTGCCCTGCCTGCCCCAGAGGGTGGGTGGCTGCTTTCTGCTTGGAGAGAGAAGTTCTGGCAAGCTGTATCCGCATAACGATTCCATGTGTCAGCTCCTGGCTCCCAGCTTAGCCCTCGCTGAGCCTCCTTATGTCTCCCTCACTCTTTGGGAGGCTGTGTTCACAGTGCTGCCTTTGCTCTGCTCTGCAGATGATGAGGCGATGGCCACGGAGGTGACTCCCCCTGCCAGCGCGGAGCTCACCGAGCTCGGCAAGTGT